ATGTGATGGCCCTGAATGCCAAACTGGCACATGACCTGGTTTTCTTGTTCTTCTGTTGGAGCACTTGGAGTCAGGTACCCATTTTGGTTTTAAGGTGTACATATATACATGAATGGGTATATGATATGCCCATTCCTTGTCATAGAAAACTAATTTATCCCTTATTTCAAAGGTTTATGGGAGAGTGTCGGGATTATAAAAACAAGACTTACTACTCCAAAACCCAGCACAAAAGACCCACAGCAAACTAGCTAATAGCAGGATTGTGGAGAGCATCTGAATCTTTGACAGTATCAGACAGCCACTAACAGTCTATCCAAAGATAAATCAAAGGTGTATAAAACATTTTTGGTCCAGAGTAAAACTGAGTACGTGCCTATGCTAGAACAGCAGTAAATGTACCATGAATTATTCTTCTTGGCTGCATTATCTAGTGCTCTTCAGTCAAGATAAAGTTTGAAGGACAAAGAACACTTTACCACAAACAAAAATCCAAGTCAGCATTTTGTCCAATTTCCTATTAATTTGTCAAGGAAACAGTATAAAACTTTCCTAAAACATGCCTTGAACTAGCAGAATATGTACACTAAGCGCTATGTTTCACCACAGTGAGACACTAAACAATCTTTCCCTTCCTTAAACCTACTAACCTCACTTGGCAGAACTCTCATTTATCTTGTGGACATACTGAGAAAGAGATGCCTGAGTGAAAAGCACTACGTATTCATTCTTTCTCAGAGAGGGAAGGACAGAAAGGTGATTTGTATGTTGTAGAACCCTGTTAACATAAGCAATAGTATCTCTGTGGAAATTAAATAAAGTAAGAAAACTTTCTTATGGAAGTAAACAAAGTATGAACTCAAATTTGCTTTTCTATTGGATTAAAACTTGTCAGAATTGGAAATTTCTTTTGGTACCAATTTTCAAAAGATTATTTGTCCTTGAATTTCTGAAACAGATGGAAAATAAAAGAATATGAAATTTTGGCAAAAATAAAAATAAGAATCAGACATGTTACTTAGTTCATCTCAAACCCTGCTATTATGAAGGGCTTTCAGCATTTCTTTCAGCCATAGAGTCAGAGTATTAATTCAGACAGTGTACTGGAGATTTGTACTTCTGTCTGTGTCTACAAAAATAGACATAAGTGATGAAACAGAGAGGAGCTTCCCAGGATAAATGAAACAGCAGCCAAAGTACAAGGAAAAACTCATGATAGCTGGTCAAATTCACTGCTCCTGTCAGTCCACAGCAGTAAATCCCAGGCACAAATGCTGGCAGGATCATTCCAGCACTGTCTGTGGTGACTGTGCAGTACCTGTTTGCAAGGGCTCGCAGCGATGTCCTGGTCACACCTGAAGGCACACCAACAGGGGTGGGCAGTGCCAGGGCTGCCCCTAATGACATGCCTGGCTGGGTTTTCCCTCAAAGGCCTTTCTGTAGGTCTGCAAACCCAAGGGAGTGTTGCCAGGTGCACTGTAAAGGGCATTGAGCGGCTCAGGTGAGCTTAAATGACCTTTCAGGTGCTGATTTTTAATCCTTTGTCCCTGTGTGCAGTACTGCAGGTTTTCCCCTGCTGACTGCTGCTGCACAAGGAGTAGAAATCTGTTTTTTATTGAGGCTGATGGCATTGCTTGCAACCTTGAGTACCCTGAATAGGTTGGATCCTAGTTAGTTTCAAAATTTATCCTCTTATTTGGAAGTACCGCCAAATTAGATGCCTTTTAGGAAGCTAGGCCAGATGTTCTGTCACCATGGCCAGGGATGGCCAAAGCCTGGGGGAGAGGTCTTACCCATGGTGAGTGTGGAAATTGCAAGTGGCACAGTTCAGAGGATAAAGGAACACTCTCAGGTAGTGCCTAGTCCATGAAACACATACCCCAGGGAGTAACTCATCCTGTCAGCTGATTCCATCTACAACATGTGCCACCACATCCCACACACAGAGAAAGAGCCAGGGAAAGAAGGTGTGGGCTTCTTGGATGGGCCGCATAGTTCAGCAGAAACTGAGACAAAATTCTCAAATGAGTGTAAAAGCCAGGCAGAAATTGAATGTCTTTGCCTGCTTGGCCAAGGACATCTTAGCCTCTTTAAACTTAATAAATAAACACACCAGCCATTCAGTTGTTGTGTTTACAAGAACAGTAAAAAAGCCCTGAAGAACTTGGGAAAGAATAGAGCTCTTTGGTAGGAGTTGGATTCCACAGGAGTTAATTTGAATTTCCCCAGCCAGCTGGAGCCTGGGGAAAGCTGATTTTCCATTGCCCTACACCTTGTAGAATCATTTACACTTCTCAAGTGGATATAAAACCACGCTACAGACACTAACAACACCATTTAACACCCACTTTGCGGAGGTGTTAACGTCCAAAGAAAGTATAAGGTCATGGAGAGCAGGACCGAGGGATTCAATCGGGAGCTGAGGAAGTGCGGGCTGCGCTCTCCCCCCGGGCTGACACTCGGGCAGCTTTCCCTGCTTCCCGAACACGGCAAGCTGCCATGGTCCCCTAGAACCGGCCACTGGAGGCTCCTCCTGGTGGGTGTCACTTGTGCGAGGGAAAGGGACCCTGCCTGGCTCCCTGCAGGGTCGCTGTGACTGGCCTTGCTGCCCCACGGACACCCTCGTGACCGAGGCTGAAGCTCAGTGTTTCCCACCACGTTCCTCTTTCCCCAGCCCTCTGTGAAACTTGCTATGTATAAACCAAGAACAGCGTTGATTAATGCTACCTTCTAAAATAAAATCATTGGTGGTTCATCCTCCTGCTCTCCTTGTATGTTTTCATGAGGGTTAAGAGAGCACAGAGCTGGCTTAGAAGAGGGGAGGTAGAGAACATTAACGGGGAAAAAAAAATGACAGGAACTCTTGTACTACAAATATATTTCCCAAAGCACACCATGAAAGAAAGGATTGAGACAGAAAGAGAGGAGGAGACAAAAGAAGATGAAAATATACCACAGGTGGGGAAAACACTGAAACCACCAACCACCCTGGTGCCAAAAATCATTTAAAAGGTGACAGATGTGTAACCTTGTTTTAAAGGAAAAAAAAAGCACCATAAAAGAGATGTTGGCAGGTTTAGAAAATAAATGCGAAATGTGTTCAGTCTTGCCTTTAAGCAGTGTTTCTTTTCAGTTGTCTTCTGGTTTTGTAAATTTTATTTGGTTTCCTGCAGTTCCCTTGCCAGCTCTGTGAGTGCTGGCCATAGATCTGAGAGATGTTGGCCCATCTTCCCTCTAAGGGCTGCTTGACTTCCCTGCTGTGCTCAGGGCAGGTTACTTGTTCCCCAGCAAGACAAGCCCCTCTGTGCTTTAATTGCTTCTCAGCCACTCTGGCACCAGCTGAGGTCACTCCGAGTGACTGCAGGGGACAAACAGCAACAACTCCAGCCAGCGGTATTGTGATGGCTTTCAAAATGCAAAAGGAGCAGAGACCCAAGACAGAGCACTGCAGGCACCTTTCCACTTCTAAATAAACTTAGAGAAAATACAAGTGTAAAAGTCAACTGTTGCTTTTTATGGTCTTGTCTCCTTTTAATTTAAACCTCTTCTGTTTAAAAAACAAGGGTATATAAAAAGTGTTTCTGCACTGGCAAAGAAAGAGAATGCACATCTTTCAAATAGGAAAATGTCTGATTTTGCCCCATATTTATGCTCCCTGAAGCATTTGGCAATGCTTCCATTTAATTCCTTCTCTGTTCAGGTGCTGCTGTGGTCAGGTCAGAAGTGGTCAGGCATGTCATGCGGGGTAAGGTGAATGTTGGAAGTCACCATTGCAAGCCCTTAGAAATGAGCTAGGATACAGGACTTTGTGAACCATACTGCTGAAGAGCAGAGACATGAATCTGACAAATGGGCAAATTATTTTTTCCTCTTTCAGAGCTGGAGAAATCCCTGCAAAACAGTGTTACTTTCTAGTCATCCACATGGGGTCTTCATACAAAACATAGAGCCAGTGAGAAAAAGGCTGGAGTGCTTCAGAGGATGGGTCACTCTGAACATCTGTGTCAGGGGCTGGGGAGAGGAAGAGGAGCATGAATGGGTAGCAAAGCTCTTTGTCCTGTAGGACAAAGTTCTTTGTCCTATGGGCCCGTCAATGGAATTGCTGCTCAGGAGAGAGGCTGTGTCTTGGGGAAAGCAGGTGACTCCTGGGGTAGGGAAGCACTTGGAAAGCACCTTCTGGATCATTTGCAATATGTCCCAGAACAGATCCTGCTAAGACAACCAAAAGCTTGCCCCTGCCCCCATGCACTCCTGCATGCAGATTTCTACAGACAAGGATAAGATGTTTTTTGCACATTAGACACAGCTTTTTTTCATGGAAGGAGAGAAATATGGTCTCAGTGCCACGGCAAGAGCTTTACTGTTTCTTACTGGCTTATTAACTACTTGCTTACTTGGTCTTGGAAACCTTTTTAAATTACAAAATGCCTTCTTAAAAATATTAGGAGGGATGTCTTCTTAAAAAAAGTTGTGGAATTCCTCTGCGAGTGCTGGGTTTTACATCCTAATGGGACTAAAGATTTTGTCTGGAAACAGGAAGATTATGCTTACTTTTGAGCAGATTTTTTAGAGCTTTATGGAGAGTGTGATAGGTCCCTCTCACATTTGGGGATATTCTGCAAATGGAGATCTTTGAAGGGGGTGTCTTTGAAGTGAGCATCTGCCATTCCAAACTGTGAAAGGTGCTTAGACAAAAATTTATCTGCTCTTCAGAGAAATCTTATCCTAAGGATTTAGTTGAGGATGGCACTCATGGCATTAGATGCAATGAGGCATGACTTGCAAATACTAACCTATTAAAGCAATTAATTCATTTCCTCCAACAAATGGTACGATTAAAAATGTGCCTAGGGAATGCTATAAATATACATTTATGACTTGACTTTTCTTCCCAGGAATCTCTGGCTATTCCCCAGTGAATAACTTGTCTCTAAACTTAAGCTATCAAATAAAAATGAACAGCCAAATATTTTAAACTATTGCTTTTTATTATAATTACACCGGAGCACAAATAAATAAGCACTAAATTATTGTAAAATATTGTCAATGCACTAAAGAAACCAGAATTGATCTTCAAACAACATCTTATTACTTCAGAAGTATCAAAGTACATTTAATTACATCTTACCTAAAAAAATCAAGTACAAAAATGAAAAGAAAATTAATATGTATTTATACTGTGTATATAGAAACGGCTAATAATATATGATTACAGTTAGCCTCTAGCTACTCCTTAGTCCTACACAATCTCAGGCACATACCTGACAATTTCTAATGAAATATAAAAAAAAGCAACATGACATTCAGTTTCAAGATATTGGTAAATGTATTACATTGGAATGAACACAGAATGATTTCATTTTATTTAAAAACCCTGTCATTTAAAAACATAGTGCCATTGTCCACTTAAAAATAAACAACCCAAACCAAAAAACCCCATACTATTTTATACCATTTGCTTTAATTTGTCAAAAGGAGCAATAAAGTAGACATACATTGGCTAATATACGTAAACACATTTTTAGTGCAAGAATAACAAGACCTGTGACTTTACTGTGCTTTCTTGAAATCACAGTGCACCTTACACAAATTGCTACACTATAATGTTTAACTTCAGGAGTTTAAAGCAAAATAAGTGCATACCAAACAATTTCATATATACAGTCTCCATAAGTGTGTGTATATATGTGATCTGTATGTATATACAGATTGCATATTTATACAGACTACAGCTTTAATGACCGTGTGTAACCAAGCACTGTCATTCACCCTGTGACACAGAAGCTGCTGAGACAAGAGGAGATGTAGGAGATGTGTGACAGCATTGTGATGGCAGCTCTCGGCAGGACGATGTGCCTTTTACTCGAGCCATGGGGTGGGCCAGCAGTCATGGGACAGGGCAGTGGCTGTGTCCTGCTCTGGCTCTGTCCCTGACCTTTGGAAACTGTTCTGCCTGAGCCTCACGTCCCTCTTCAGTAAAACGGCTCTTGCAAGCATGAGGTTTACTTCACATTTCTAAAGTGCTTTGAAGGTAAGTGCTAAGTTATGTTTTACTTTTTCATGTTGTCGCACTTTAAAACAAAAAGCCATTGTTTCCATGGGATACAATGGAGGTCTGGAAGCACGTGGGCAGTTATTTAGGAAGGACAACATAAACAGTGTTGAGCAATAAAAGCAAAACAAGGAGTTTGCAGTGGGCTACGTGTACAAGCAACTCTGCTCTAGGACAAGAATGCTTCAATTCCCTGATCATTATTCCTATTACATCTGGATATGGAAAGGACACGATATGAACAAACACTAGCAAGGACAGAACCGTTCACACTGACACTGCCTTCCCCTGGCAGGTGTGCCCAGGGTCTGCACTGCCAGCGATGCTCTGGCAGTGCGCCTTTAAAGGAGCTGCTCCAGGAGGACACCAGTGAGGACAAGGACTGGCAGAGCTGACTGAACGCCTGCTTGCGTTTTGTCACCAGTGACTTTGTGCAGCTGGGGAAAAGGGCTGAGCTAAGTATTTCACATGTGGATATGGGAAATTCTCCTGCCACATTACAAGGAAGACAAACCATGAACACTTGCTGAATAATGAACCCTGTTAGCTCAACAGATTTCTCATGACCAAGAAGTCGTCTTCTTTCCAGCAGATTCTGGAACTTTCCAAGATCTCTGCAGTTTTTCTTCTGCCATTTTCTTTCTTTAAAAAAGAGAGAATAAGCAGAATAAACAGTTGGTGTCTTTTGGATGCAACGTGTTCAAAGATTCCCTCACAGCCTCCGGGATTTTTCATGTCTTCTGTCATTTTGGCTGGGAGGGGGTCTTCAAATCTGCATTTCAACTCTGTACCTATTCCAGCCTTTGATTATTCCTAACACACCAATATTTAATGTATGCAGATATACGTATGCACACATCTATGGGTATATATAGATACATGCATATATACATGTATATGTGTGTACACATATGCATATATACATATACAGTAATGCTAATATACATACACACATATAAACACACACTTCATCTTTTACAGAAATCTCAGTTTGGACATCAAAATATACATTAGTTAATTAGTTATAAAATATTTAAAAACTTTATTTCAGAGGCTGAAAAGAAACTACTACTGATAAAACATTACTGAAACTCAAACTTTAGCAATATAGATTACAAAAACCTTCTAAAATTTGTTATTTTTGGTCTTTTTTGATCAGCAATTACAGCTGTGGCAATGCTGTCAATATAATTTTAAAGAAAAGCCAATATAACAAGAAGTTTCAAACAACACACCTTTTCTTCTTGGTGAATATAACATTAAAATGATTGTTTTAAAGAGGGAATTTTGTACTACCAAACTTCAGACACATAGATAGAAATTTTAATATACAAAATATATGCCATAGATCTTTTTTCCCCCCTACTCCACCGCAGTACAATTTTCCCTCGTCCTCAACAGATCCTTTTGGAAGATATTTCACCTCACAGATTTCACCCTCATAATCGGTATAAGCCATCCTTTTCTCCCGTTAAAACCAGGAGGTCATAATTCTTTGGTCATGACATAATATTCTGTTAAAATGGTTGTAATATAATACAGGATTGCAAGCCAATTCCAGAAGCAGCCAGGAAGAAGAAACGGCATAGCCGGGAGAATGTGTTACGTGGGCTTCTTCTTCAAAACGGCATGAAATCAAGAGGGATTTCCCAACAGCCTTTCAAGGGGTCTGAAATCTGAAATCCAGCCCACAGAAACAACATGAGGAAATCTGACATGGCGTAAGTAAGGATGTGCTGCTGGATTTAAAAATAATAAACATGTAAACATATTTTGTCGCCTTTATTTTCTGGACCATCGGTAAATGTGGACGGGGACGACGGCTGCAGTGGCACTGCCTCACCCCGCTGAGCCACCGGCTCTCTCTGCCAAGGGCTGCACAATGCTTAGTCACAGTGAACCATGGTCTCTGCTAATCAATGGAACGTCTTCAAGGAAGAGATTCTGTCGCAGGCCCTGCTGCAGAAAATTTAGTTCCTTGGCCAAATCATTTTAGTAAATGGTTCATATAGAACCAAGGACAATTAATCTGGTTACCATTATGGGAAAACAGATGCAGAACAATTAATATTTTAAATGCAACTTGGGCACCCACACTGAGCACTTGTACTTTCAGTGCTTGCAGGTTTGCTGTTTCCCACCAGAACTCTCTCCTTTGTCCATCCCACCCCCCTAGCTAAGGACACCTAACAAGTACGACTCTAGCTATCTTCTACAGCCCTAGCACCGAGTTGTTTTGTACATTGTCCTCTCCAACAACACGTACAACCACATGCTTTTGTACAGAGGCCACATCTAGGCAGGTCAGAGAAATAAAACAGTGGCGGCAGGGGCGGGGGTGAACAGTAGAATAGAACATAGAAAATAGGTAATAAAACAGTATAACAGTAACATTATATAGTAAAATTCTCCATAAATTTTTGAATTTATATATATATATTTATATATTTAAACAGTGTATTCGTTTGGGTGTTTTCAATATATTGGTCAAATATTTACATTTTGATATCTTCTGGATCCAAAAAAATCCTGGATAAATATGTATGCCTTAATCCAGTCGGAAACTTAAATATCTCTCTTGATTGACAGGTGAGCACTGTACTGGTGTGTTTTTTCCTAGGAAGTTCACCACCTGCAGGTAAGTCTTAGGTTAGAGCCTTTGCCTTTTAAAGAAAGCAGGCTACCTGTGCTTGGTGCCACACAGTGGAGAGGGCATCCTCCACAGGCCTGTCAAATTGCAGTGTCCCAGAAAACAGTTTGTTGTTTGGAATAAGGAGGAGGGCTGTATTTCTTGGTCCCAGCATTCTTTTTCCAACTCGGCAAAATAGGCATGCTGTCCTGTTTGCAGAGTCCTTTCTCTGATTTCTGTCGAGCTTTGATCTCTTTGCAGAGGCAACGCTTTTTTTCAATCATGTCCAGCATCGTATGGTCCCCTTGCAACCACTGCATGCACGTCACCTATTGGGGGAGGTGGATGGAGGAAGAAAAAAAAAGAGGGAAAAAACATACAAATAACTGTCTTGGTCATAGATTAAATATGCTTTTTCTTTGAAAAGTTAACTTACTCTTATTTGAAACACTCTAATTTTACGAATAAAGATCTCAATGCCAACAACAGAAACAGAGCTAGTCTTTACTTCTAACTACTTCTTTAAGAAACAAAAGGGTAATAGAAGATCCCAGTTTTAACTTCTCCAGAGCACTAAAACCTAATAAAGATAAATGGTTTTGGTAATCTAGCAATGGTTGGATTTTAAATGGTAGAATAGATCTTAAAAAGGCACATGGATCTTAACAACATCCTTAAGTTGTGGAAATAAAAAATTCTACACACTGAAACCCACGTTTTATATTGCTTTCCAAATCCAATCTGTCACATTAAAAGCAGGGTGTTAACATTTCTGAGTATCAAGCTAAATATAACTGTTAAATTTTGTTAAAATGATTTAATGAACTCCATGCAAATTATATGGATTAACCTATCCTACTCTGTGATATTTCATTAACTGGAAGGCACAAGAGTTAAGAAACCCCATGTTTTCATGCATGTGGAATACTGGAGAATGTGATCCTGATCCAAAAGGGGAGGTTAGCATATGTTTAGCTGTAAGTACATGCCACAGCCCCTCTGAAGCTGAGAATGTGACTTCATTTGAGTTCAGCGGGGAGTTCACAATTGAAAATGTGTCTTCAGAGGCTTTAGACTGGAAGAGAAATCACTAATAATAAATTCTTTTGAAAGGGCTCATTGGTTTTGGACATCACTGTATACCTGCAGCTCAGAAAACTTCCTCTGAACACTTACTTTGCAAATGTGAAGTGATGTCTTGAAAGTCCCCACATTTTTTCCCAAGGGTTAAGGATTTGTGTGTAAGTAAATGCACACGGTACATTCACAGGGGCTGTCCAGGTACACCTCTGCTCTTGTAATGAGAATGAACATGTACAGCAATACTTTGGTACAATTTGTGTTCGTGAAGGAAATGTATATTTATTATTAAGGGTATTTGAATACATTTAATAATGCATATGCCTTTCATTCACAAGTCTTAGAATGCCAAGCATGGGCATACACCAAGACCCTAGAACTGGGGCCTGATTTGCCTAGAATCCCCTATAGAATCCCCTATAGATGCAGCTTTTTTGGATCTCAGTAGTTTTTTTGTTCAGCTTGAAGCCTATTTAGCATTTGTAATAGATTATAATAGATTAAACAAATGTTCAGATTCATAGCAGAAAACAAAACAAAAAGAATAAATTTAAGAAAGCCTACCAAAAAAAGTAATAAAAAATTATGTGTTCAAACAGAAAAAAAGAATTAGAATTAGAATACAGAAATGTCAAATTTTTTGTAAAAAAAAACAAAAAGGGGCAAAAGAGGTTAAAATACTTTTATCACAAAACCACGCTTACCTTATACACTAGATAGTACTGTGAGTAAAACAGGTTTAAACCATAATATGGATTTTGTCCATTAATGTTCTTATGAATTTTGAATTATCCTTATCTGCAATGTGTCCTCCTGAACAGCTGAGCCATTTTTTCAGGAATTCTGCTGTGCCTGCTCTTTTAATTGAATCTTATCTTTCATTTCCGGCATGATCTAATGCTTACTGTGGTGCAGGTGGGCATGAGGCACAGCATCTGCCATGGCCATGAGATTTCTCTCTTTTGGTGCCCAGGCTTGGTCCAAAACTCTCTGTCTGAGCTGGAGATGCTCCCCTCCCCCCTTGGCTCCACTGCACAGATCTTTGGAGAGGCTCTGCCTGACCCAGCTTTCCTCTGCTCACCAGTGGTGGGTCAGTACTTACACAGCAGTGTCTTCAGCTTGGCTGGGTCCTCCTCCGTGGGGAAGGACAGGGACACAGTCTGCACACAATTCATTACACAAATATTCACCAGCACAGCGGCTTCTGCGCCAGGCTTGACGACAACAGCGCTTGAGCATGGATTTCCTCTCGTAGGCACCGGGAAATACCTTCTCTTTTACAGCCCTTCACGTCCCAGGCAGAGCGTGTGCCAGTGGCAATCCCGCAGCACGCGGTGCGCTCCAGCCACCGAGCGTCACCAAGCAGCACCCGTGACAGCCCCGTGAGAGTGTCACACCCGTGCCTCCCTGCTCACCACCGTGCCACACGCAGTGCCGTGCCAACACCGTGCCCCGTGGTGCCGATCTCCTGCACTCAAGGAGGTTCAGGGGGACAGAAGCATTTTGACATGCTGAGTTCTAAAATGCCAGTTGCAGCTTCCCAAAGATAGAAATGGAGTTGTAGAAAGTATCAGTTACACAGACACTCTGCCACCCCCTGCAAAACAGCACCTAAAATATACTCAGGAGTAGGCAGCTCCAAAGTCCTTTTTTCATACTGGCCATCGTATTTTGTTACGGTTAGTGAAATTTACTGTGAAGAATTTGAATTTTCCCACTTTCCCAGATACAAATTTTCAAGTCTACTTGGGATTTTTTAATGCTATTTTTGTTTGATGGCTAAGTCCTTCCTATCAGTACACCTATGTTAGGTGTACTGTCCACTTGGCACAATCCTCCTGTGGAACTGCATTGAGTAATGGTGTGTGTAGGGGAAACATGTAGAACTGGGATGGGCAAAGTCATTTGCTAAAATACACCAAGTCAACACATACAATGTTGAAAGGCCTGGGGGGAAAAAAAAGCTTTAATATTAAAATAAGCCTAAATACTAAAGGTTTGGTTTTTTGTGATTTTTTTTTAAATAGTTTTGCCCAGTTGTTTAGTGTTTAAGTGCAACAAAATAAAAATATTAGGAACAAAGTTTGATGGCCAGTAGAAGCTGCGGGACAGACCTCAGAGAAAATCCCCACTGCAGATCTATGAACTACAGAAATGATAATAACCATGCTGATGATATGAAGTCCCAGAGTGTTAATTACATTTTCAGACAAATAAAACTGAGGCTCACACAGTCCAGGACTCAATCCAGCTGTTAATCACAGTAAAAACCCTCGATGACTTCAGTAGGGCTACTAAGGTGTTTAAAGCCAATGTGTTTAACACTGCAGTCTTAGGCCTAATCCTCCCAGTGACTGAACTGATGGCACTCACACTTAGTTCTAGCACTAATTTTTCTCACCTCCTCCCTCCTTTCTGGCTTTAGCATGCTCCTCTGGCCATGCACCAGGCTGTTAATATCCCTGCTACATCATAGCAAGGAATTTGTTCAGTGTGAGAGGCACAAAAAATAATGATGTTACAACCTGATTTATGGAAAAAAAAGTAGAGCATTCAAAACATTTTACAGATATACAGCTCTCCTGGGAAAGATCCCAGCATGCTTGAGGAATGGTGCACATACTGCAGCATGTCAGAGCTCGGCTGCACGTGTGAATGTACACAGACAGGCACAAAATCAGCACTGGAGGTAACAGCCACCAAGACAGAGCACAGGAGAGGAAAACTTGGTTCTGACCAAAGAATCTTGGCCCAAAGCCTGTTTTTATTGAAGAGGGAAGAAAGAGCTAGAAACAAAAGTTAGGATTGCAAGAAGGGACCTCCTGGAGATTCCAGGATATGTGTCAGGTACTACATCCCATAATATCCTTTGGATTACAAAATTTGCTGATTGCACATCAATTTTGGTTTTGATGGAATTTTTACTCATTAGATTATTCAAAGTATAAGACACCTTTATAAATTTTTTATTTTAAATCAGATAGAGAAAGAGAGTGAAGAAAAACACCAGGCAAAGGCCCAGAAGTTTGGACATTCACCAAGAAGGTGTTGGAGGTAGGCTGAATTCCTTGCTCTTAAGCAGACAGTAAAAGCTGGGTGATGACTGGATGTGTAGGAAGCATACAGGAATAGAGGGTGGTTGGATAAATTCTCTCACCTGAATGTGACTGAGTGCAAGAGTAAATCAGGATGTCTGACAAGTTCTTGGTAAACACACTCACCCTTTCATTAGTCATCAGTCTCTATTTTTCCTTCAAAAATCTTCTGCAAAGCAAATGCTTGTACCAAACTTGAACATCAACAACAACAGGTAAGAAACTCCTGCTATACAAAACTGAGCTTTTCCATACAGTTTAATCACCAACTTTGCTATCTTTTGAAGAAACAAGTCTATGTTGCCACCTTACTTTAACTATTTTCTCTCAGTTTTCTGATATTTTTATTCCCAAAACATTGGAAATAAATATTATTAAGATCTTTTATGTACTCTTGGGTTCTATGTTGGTAGTGCCATGGAACAAGAAGTAATAAACCCATCTTCAACTAAGATAAAACAACTTCACATATCCTCAAAACAATGCAAAATTAAAATCTTTCAAAGTAAAAAAAAAGATCCCTTCTGGTGTGTGTTTTAATGCTTTATGAAGGTCAAAGAAACAAGCTAGACAAAGTAGCTCCTTCTTCTGCAAAGTGAAATGGTACAGTTTTGTACTACATTAGCAGTGGGCCTGATCTCATATCTCATCTGTTTGAAATTTCATATTATTCCAGAAAGATAATTAGCAGTCCCAATGGTTTCCAAATACATGTATTGCTTAAATTAGATTGCCCTGAGCTAGACCACAGAGCTGTCTTGGAGCAGAGGTTTGATGGGCAGAACGTGTCCAGTTCAATCGCTCTTAGAGGCCAGGACTAGAAGCCAGAGGTCAGTACATGCCATAGCTCTCTGCCACATCAGAATTTACTGGGAAAAGCACATAATCCCAGGGAAAACTCAGAACAGGCTTTGGGGAACAGACAGTGACTCACACTGCCAGGAAGCCCCTGGTGTCACAGAGGACTATTTCTGTTTTCTCTTCCCTGGCCCTGGGCACCCCCACCCCTGACTGCCGGGCACTGCTGGCCCTTGCTGTGTCATGACACACTGCACCAGCACTTCCACTAAAGTGCTCAAAACAGGGGTGTTTGCAGCAAGAAAGAGAAATGTAAATGAACATGGTTCTTTCTTTGTTCATAACCAAGCAGGATAGTTTGGTTTGACAGAGTCATAGTTACAGATAGAAAAAGAATAAAATATTATCCAAAGATACCATTAAGCAGCTACTGATGGACACAACTTTACACACAGGCTAGCTGTGTTCACCAGGTGTAGAAAATATCTTGTATCTTTTTGTGGATGAATATCCACACTATGAGGTCAGACTCTTGGGCTCTTCAGGAACTGGACTATTGCTATAAGGAGCACTGGGCAAAGTGCATCAGGACAGGCCCCAAGCAGGGCTGTGCAATTTCCTGAGCACATGAACAACACTGAAAAAAGACATTGTGATACCTGTAAGTTACATACAAACCAAATGATCCCATGTAACATAGACTTTCCAAATGAAAAACATGATGGCTGTAAAAAGAAAAATCCATGAACAGAACTAAAAGTATAGAGTGAAACATCCTCAGCACCAGGCCTGGGACTCTCTTAGCTGTGAAAAATTTTACTTATTCATGTGTTACATAAATAGCTACATAAATACATGGATGCATAATGCTGTCTCTTAGTAAAAAGACATTTTGTGCTACATAAGTCCCACACATATCCCCCTGTCTCGAGCCAAGCCCTCGGTAACCTTAGCCCTGAACACTGGGCAGGCAGGAGACAAGAGGAGAGCAAGTGCCAGGAGCAACTCTGCTCCCCAAAGTCAGGCCACTGGGGTGAAATGTGGTAGGAGGATAAAGCCATGCTAATTCCCAGTGCTAAGAGGTGTTTCAGGAATCCTGTCATTGAAGGTAGTTATAATTTTTCATGAGTGCCCGTGAAAATATGTGCTGCTAAAAATGCCACGTGGGAAAAGAAGTACCGTAAATATTGTACAGGTCTATTAGTAGTCACTAAGTTCAAAAATGTTGACAACTTTCATTCATTTTAAAGGAACCCTTTCTAATATTTGATGTGACCACACGATCGTGCTCTGGACGCATCTGAGCAGGGTGTTCTTTTATAGTGTATGAATTTTAATGACCTAAAAAAATATCTTCCACTATAGTTTACATGAGAGCTTTAGACAACAGCATCTGTTGTCCCTTCATCTATTTCTCCTCATGACATCCTGCCTGTTAAATTCTTTGCTTGCCTTGTTTTAATGCTGTTGGCTTATTTGATGTGAAATTG